ATATATATATATATATATATATATATATATATATATATATATATATATATATATAAATATATATATATATATATATATATATATATATATATATATATATATATATATATATATATATATATATATATATATATATATATATATATATATATATATATATATATATATATATATATATATATATATATATATATATATATATATATGTATGTATGTATGTATGTATGTATGTATGTATGTATGTATGTATGTATATATATATATATATATATATATATATATATATATATATATATATATATATATATATATATATATATACATACAGTATTACCCCGCCTAACGCGGTTTCACTTAACGCGTTTTTTCATATACGCGGTGCCTCGCCAGAGCTGAACTTTCACTTAACACGGATTTTTTCCACATATACGCGGTGAGTGTCCGGCTCGAGACACTATTTTTTGATTTGCCCCACCCGCCACCCTGCCTGACTGCCTGTTTTAGCTCATGAAATTCATACAAATTACCCGGCCAGAATATAATTTACATTGCTGGAATTCTTATAATTTGGTGATCATTTTGAATATAAACATCATATATTTTGCATTAGACATACAAATTTTAGATAAAATGTTTTCTCTGAGTAAATATGTTATCTTTTGTGCAAAATATATGACATTTATATTCAAAATATTCCTGGTCTTACAAGGAATCCAGCAATGTCAATTGTATTATCCTAACTTTAGTTTGAGGTATTATTTATTAAAATTTAGTGGTTTTCCCCCAAAAATTTCTCAGAGGGAAGAGCCAGCAGTGTAGTGTGAGAAGAGGGGGAGGGAGTTGAGTCCATTATTTGAATGGACATTAACTTGGCGACTGTATTTCTCTATTTCTCTTAAGTATTAATTGTGTGCATGTACCATCATAAAATTAAGATGTTATTTTTACTACAACATAGTTATGTGTCTTCAAAAAGTGGAGTTTGGGGGTCGGGCTGGTTTCTATTGGAATTAATCCCATATGTTCTGTTGTTCACTTAACATTTCACTTAACGCGGGACCCTCTGGGTTCTATTGACCGCGTTAAGTGGGGTACAACTGTATATATATATATATATATATATATATATATATATATATATATATATATATATATATATTCAAGATATATATATATATATATATATATATATATATATATATATATATATATATATATATATATATATATATATATATATATTATATATATATAGCCTATATATACTGTATATATATATATATATATATATATATATATATATATATATATATATATATATATATATATATATATATATATATATATATATATATATATATATATATATATATATATATATATATATACATAGGAAAGGAAAGAAGAAAACACGAAGTTCCCAAACGCTTTCGTGTAATTCACATCTTCAGGGGTGAGTACAGACTAGAGAGAGTAATACAAATCAAGGTGTATATATACAGAGGAGGGTGAGACCAGGTCCACAATGGTCAGCATATACCTAGATCACGCGCACCTACAGTGATTTACTTGCATATATATATATATATACTGGTGCAGGAAAAGTTCAGGGATTACTGTAAAGTATATTTATATTAATCAGGTTTCTTTGAGTACTGTAACTCACCAATACTGGACTGTACCGTACACCCCAATTTTTGTCTGCCCCTTAAATATTGTTACATTTACTGTACAGTATACAGTACTTCTTTCTCCCCCTTTTTTTTTCACGGTATCAATTGGCATTTTTTCTTCATTTTCCTTCTCCATTTAAATACAGTGCATACATTACTTAATGAAAAAATCTGAATAATGTTTTCACACAAATTTACTTCTATTAAAACTTACAATACATAGGCACTGAGGGAGGGAGGGGAGGGGGGGATCAGGTGAACATGGTGTTGTCAGTTGGCCTTGTGTAAATGTTTATATTGCAGTAGTGTTTTATATTTTAGGCTGATTTTGGTCATAAATAAATTTTATGCATGTTTTTGTTTGTATATGATTGCTCTATAATACTATAGACACTGAATAATAAATATAATGGTACAGTACTGTAACATCACCATTATGAAGCCAGGTTTTTGATCTCTGCTGTAGATATTTTATAAACATTTCAAACATTCAGCTTTTTCATGATGTGAAAATTTTAAATTTGTCCTATTTTTGTTTGTAATTGTGCTTGAAAGATTGGTGTTCATTTTAAACCAAACCAGGCACCAATAGACCCAAAAATGGATTGTAGTAAATTTTAAAAAATAGGGGCACACGTTATGCCCATTGCAGTCGAGCGTAAATTTTTTGGGGGATGCGCATTGAGACATTCATGCTCTAGAGCAGGGGTCACCAAACTTTTTTCACAGTGGGCCGGATAACTGAAAGAATGACGAGCGCGGGCTGCATAATCATTCTGTTCAATACTTGCAAGCCAGAACGAAAGCTCTGGTAACGTTAGAGCGTAGGCGGAGCTACCACGAGCCGGGGAAGGACTTGGGATCCGGCCCGCGGGCCGTAGTTTGGTGACCCCTGCTCTAGAGCTTTAAGAACAATTGGTAATGGGTTCATTTATGTTCTTGCCAAATCATCTTTAAAAAATTTCAGCAAACTATGAGAGCATTGCTTTTGAGTCTTCTTTACCGGAAAATTTTAAAGCGAATAATATGCAAATTGTTTTGGGAGCATGCTGCATTTGCCTGCCTCACCATGCTGTAAGTGCATCTTATGCTTGGTGAGAATAGATAATATTTCAATATAGTTCTTAGGTAGAAAATTGCATGTATATATGAAGACTTCTGATAATGTGAGGAATCTAGCCACATGAACTCCTAAAGTATGACTACTTTACTGGTATTGATCAAGTTCACTTGTCCTTTACTGTGCAGTATATATCTTTTTGGCTACACCCTGCACTAGACAGCTTGAATATATGCACTAGTGCTGTTTTTGTTTTGTTTTTTTACATGCATTGTTTTGTATATTATTGCTCTATAATATTATACACAATAATGATACTGTATGAAGTGAGTTTGTTGATCATTGCGATAATTAATTATACAGTTGTAAAGCATTTACAATATTTAACTTTTTTAAAAATAATCCTCGGAAGATTGGTGCACATTTTAAACCAAACCAGGCAACAGTAGACCCAAAATTGTATTTTTGGTGAATTTTTAAAGGCTTGGATGCAACATAAATCATCCGTACACTAGCATTAGTACTGTACTGTGCAGTATTATGGATGATCCACACTGCATCATCCATGCTCATTGAGACTGTGTATGTAAATATTTATTTCGAGAGGATATTTGGTGCTTTTCTTTTTTATGTTAATGAACCTAGAGGAACCATTGAAAGGCTCTGTTAGATCAGCAGATATTAAATTGGTTCATGCAATATCAACAATCAAGTCATTTGGCCTATTTCCCAATTCCCACTGAATGGGACTCCTTGTTATTGCACCTCAAGTGGGAACTGTTCAGGTTGAATGTTGTCTGTTATTTGTTGCTCTCCTTGAACTTATAAGGAGTTGCATGTTTGTTGAACATGTAACATGAATTTGTTCACCTTGGTAATGCCTTGATGCATATTGTCTGCATAGTGAAAACTCATGAATACTGTAGTGTCTAATTAGACTTTCACAAAGTGTTTTACAGATGAGTGAAGTGGATAAGCTCTTTGCAGTCTGTGAATATGGGAGGTTGCTTCTTATTATGGACAATTATAATAATACTCGTATCTGGTACACAGTCTTCTGCTTTTGATCTCAAGTAATTCTTTGCTGTACAGTAGTAGGATACAGAGGACGTGATTTTGTCGCACTTGTTATGAAGAGTCTCTAAGTTAGAGTGGATATTTGAAAATTTCAGAAGCCCAGAGACATTTTGTTGCTGTATAAGGCCTATGAGGATCTTGATTTGCCATTTCTCTTATTTCCCAATGTCTAAATGCAGTAGAATAAGTCTCTGAGGTTGTAACTCCAATTATAACAAAGAACAGGTGAGATGTGCTGTTACTTTTGTGATATTGTTTGCCCCACTCTCCTCCCACATTGTCTTACAGGGATAAAGCATTTTCTCTTTATTACTGGTATTCCTCTTAAGGGCTAAATAGTATTAGAAGGATTTAAAAATAGTTTAAATTAACCCTGATTAGCACTGTCAAGGTTTTCTGGTTGTAGACTTATAGTTTGGTCCCATATATTTAAGCAACCTCATTCCAGGCTTGTTCATAAAATAGGGATTTCAGGATAATATTCTTATTTTTGATGTAGCAGTCAGTTTTGACCGAAGGTATATTGTAGTGAACTAAGCTGCCATTGTTTGTTGTTACAAAAATTAGTGGTTTTTGAATTGTAATGGAAGCATCCATGCTCCAATTTGAGGTTGCATAACTAGTCTGTCCTTTTGGAGATAAAGTTTCTCATTGATTTTGAGGTCATTAGGTCAAGAGTCAAGGTCATTGTTGTATAGGTAGTTGTACTGAACGAACTACTGAACTAAATACTTTCCCCTGGGGAGAGGGAATTGCCTATTGGTTTTGAAATTACATACTTTAGGCACCTTGCCAAAGGGAGAAAACATTTTTTATTAATTCTTGTCATCACTGGGTTAAAGATGAAGGTTGTGTTATACAGCCAACTGCAAGGGATGCACAGTATGCAAATTTTGTGGTTGTTCTGTACAGTACTATTATTATTCCTTGAAACATTGTATGATTTACAATGCCTTATCTAAAAGTTGTAATAAACAGGAAATATGAGTTCTAAGGAGAAGAGCTTTATGTTTGGGAGAATAGGAGGATTAAGGACAAAAATTTTACCTCATCTTTTTCACTATTATATTATTTTTCTCATAAATTATTACAAATCTAAACTGCCAAAGGGGTTTGGCATCATTGGAGTGCAATGTATGTTACTAAAATAATTAAAGAATTTCTAAATCCAAAGAATTTCTTCATTGTAGGTATCATGGACAACAGTGCCCAAATGCCAGCTTTCTACCGTGAAGAAGCTAACAAATTACTGGCCAAATATTATCCTATTGAGATACATCCTAAAATGACAGAGGAAGAGAAGATCCCATACATGATAGAATGGTACGAACAAATTCACAAACTGATTGTCAAATGCCAAGTCAGTCAGGAATCACTGAAAGGCATGGTCAGTTCTAGTAATGCCAGGCTAAGGTATGTAAGAGTTCTGTGTGTTGTTGATAGAAATCCTTTATAACCAGTATATTTTCACACCCATAGCTTAATGAAAAAAAATAATATTTATATACTGTATATAATTTTCTGTTACAGTACTTGTCATGGATTTTTTTGTTACATAACTCAAGTCTTTCACTTCAATATCTTGTCTTAATCTCCTTTTTCATAGTCTAGATATCAAAATTTGTTTGGTGAATTAAGATATACGTAAAAGCTCCTGTCTAGTCTGCCATGGTGAATCATATCTCTCGAACAAAATAATATTTGAAAAAAAAAAATTTTATTTGTATTTTTCTTCATTGACCCCTATGCCCTGGGCTAGGGTGCCACTGGCCGTACCCCCCACATGGGGTAAATCAAGAAAAATCAACTTTTCCAAAAATAATTTTTAACCTTTTTAAATGATAAAACAATCAAAAAGAAGTAATTAAAACTATACTGTATATTGACCCTCTAGAAACTTCCCTGGGGCCACAATGGCGGGAAAATGGCAGCGCAGAACGAGGGAGATAAGTGGATGGCGTTGTTTTGACGGCGAGTGCTCGTGGTCATGTATGCACTTTGCAGCCATTTTCTGCTTGCCTTTGTGTCTGGGATGGCCAGTAATGCATATATTTACTGAACATAATACTTATTTTCTATAAATAATTAATTTAAAATTTATTTTATTTGCATTATTTTTCATAAAAAGTGCTTGGCGACACACACGCAGTCTGTCGCCAGGCTGTCTGGCTGTCTTTTTGTTTGGGAGAGCAAGTAATGCATAGAATCAATTATCGGAATAATAATTCCACGAATAAGTACATTTATAACATAATCGCAGCACTATTTTCCAGTAATACTACACTACAATACAACTACACTACTTTTAGCAATATTACTTTGATACAACATGATAAAATGGACAAACAATGAAAATGAAACAAACAGAAGTAAGTACTTACATTCCAGAAGCTTCCCTGTGGCCAATTGTGGAGTGAAGAGTGGTGCTTAGGGGAGGAGGTAGTGGTGTGAGGCAGTAGTGCTTCCTTGACGCCTCGCTCACTGTCTGTGCTCGTGGGTAGTGATGAGTGAATGCGCACAACTTTGTACCTTTTACTCAAATAAGTCACTTTGTACCTTACAAATAAACTTATCCACTGCACTTACACTATTTTTTTATCACTAGTTTCTAATCACTATTTCCTTATAACACTACTATTTACAAGCACTTCTCATGTTCTACATTGTTTTAGAAGGTTATCATTGTGTGGTACTCCATAAAACAAAGTTTACAGAGACCCACATCGTACTCCTTGCACCAAATCGACACGTCCTTCTGTTTAGATGGGAGCTTGGTGGTGTTTTTGCATACGTAACACCGCCTTTGCCCCTTACGATCACCTGGATCACTTGGAAGGTCGTCAAGGTAGTGTCGAGCAGCCCATTCACTTGCAAGGAGTCAGTCCGGGAGTCCTATTTGGCTGTGGCATTGTGGTACAGCAGGCACAATGTCACAATATTTCTCTAGGATTTCAGAAATTACTTGTTTCTGAAAAACCCTGAGAGATGTTTTTTTCCGTTTTTTTACAAGGTACAAGTTGTATGCATTCAGGATGGTAATGTCCACGAGGTGTAGGAACATCTTATACCATTTACATTTCCTTACACACTCAATTGCGCCAACCTGCATATCACTCTTATCCACGAGGTGTATGTTGACATTGTAGTCCACAACAGCGTCAGGTTTTTTCACTACCTCTCCTGTTGCCCTGTCCCTTTTTCCACAGTCCACCATTTTGCCCTTGTGCACGGTTGACAGCATCTGGACAGTACGCTTATCATGCCAGTGTATTGCAAGCATCTTGTCTGCGTGCTTCAGCTGGACCACTCCTTGTGCAGGTTTACCAGTAAATACGGGCCAGTGTTTCCTGGTCTTGCGTACTGTCCCACAAGAACCGGTGTCATGTTCAAGTAGGAACTTGGACAGGGCAGAAGTATAGTAATTGTCCGTTTAGAGGAGATGATTCCCTCCAAAGTAGTGGTCCAGAATTTCTTGACGACAGCTCCCGAGAAACCATGTGAGTCGTCCTTGCGTATGTCTACGTCACTTGCTGTGTAAACTACGAGATCTAAGACATACCCAGTCTCTCAGTCACACAACACGAAGAACTTTATCCCAAAGCGATGCTGTTTGGAGGGAATGTATTGTCTAAAAACAACACGTCCTCTGAAAAGCACCAGAGACTCGTCTTATACTACATTATGGAAGGGTCTGAAGAACTTCATGAATCTTTCCTTCAGGGTTGTTGTTGTCTACCAAGTGATGATAACGTAGGATGGAGGCAATCCGGTCTCTTGACATGAATTTGACCAACACTGGAGTTGCTGTTATGTCATTAGGAGATATCCAGTACTCCTGAAGTACGTGTTTCTTTACATGGGCCATTAGCATGAGTAATGCAAAAAATACTTACAGTTTTGACACAGCAACATCACTCCTGCATCGCATGTGCGGCAAGGGGCCAGGGTCATTATCATGTGTGTGCTGAAAATTTGTTTGTTTCAGTACACACAAAGTTCATGAATGCACCGTCAAAGAAAGCCCAAAAGTAGTCAAGTTCACTAGATTCATCCGTACATGGAAATTCAGGAGTAATTCCACCTGATGATCATCTGAAATCAAGGATGTCAGGCTGGAAATTACTGCCATCAGACCATACAAGCGCATCCATTGTCCCTTGCCTTGGCCGCGAGCGAGATGCGGGCACACGCCGTCCTCCCCGTGCCCTGCTCCCTGCCTCCTCGCCGTCACTATCACTTTCTTCACTTGTCCCCACCACATCCTCCAACTCCACAGTATTATCATGTTCACAAGGCTCATAGTCACTGCCTTCATCACCACTGTCACCAAAATCACACACTGCAGCACTCAGATCTAATAGTTCTTGCCGTATCTCGCTATCATCCAGCCCGCGGCGGCGGCGCTTGATAGAAGATGCGTGCGGTGAGTGAGCGCAAGAGGTTGATGGACGACTCTCCATGGTTACAGGCTAGTGCGTACTAACTGCACTGAGCCCACCCACGCTACCCTGCATGTGGCGTGACACTCAAATAGTCACGCTGGAACCTGCTAACCCGTGCTGGGCATTCAAACAATGCTGCGAAAAGGCACGCGTTCCGGAACCGTTCTGGAATGACAACCATGGTGTAGGGGTTAACAATGCAGGGAGAGTTCAGACAAATTTCATTGTCAAATTTATTCATTCTATTCACTGATATGTCCCCTTGCCAAAGACTGAAGATACTTGAAGCATGACATGAACCGTTGGAAACTTGGAGATTGTATGACACAGAAAAATACTTGTTGATAGGGTGTTTCACAGAGTTTAAGACCAGTTTAAAATAAGTTTTACTTTTACTTTTATCCTCTTCACCACTGTTCGGCTCGTTAGCCGCTTGGGCAATCGGTCACATCTCTGTTACTTTTCCTTTTCTTTTATCCTCTTCACCAAATGATCGGCTCGTTAGCCGTTTGGGCGATCGGTCACGTCTCTGTCATGCACTGTTGGCAAATACTGGGCATGCACCGGCTCCTGAATGTACCTGAACCCGCTCCAGTGTTGGTCAAGTCTTGTCTTGAAAGAGCTCACACTCGGTGCCGTCACAACACTGGTAGATTGTTCCAAGAGTTTACAACCCTCACTCCAAAAAAGTTTGCCCTCACAGTTTTCTGGACTTGCAGCTTCTTCAATCTTGAGCTGTGACCCCTTGTGGGGCGAGCGTCCTCCGGCTCCAAGTAAGGACACTCGACTGAGTAGTGCCCCTTGAGATGTTTATATACCTCGATTAGGTCACCCCTTGCCTGTCTGTAGTATAAGCTAGGCAAGTTCAGGCACTCCAATCTCTCCGGGTAGCTGAGGTGCCGAAGTGTAGGCACCAGTCTGGTGGCCCTCCTTTGAACATTTTCAACCAACTGACAGTCCCTAGCATATCTCGGGGACAAGACAGGGTGACAGTATTCCAGATGGGGAAGCACTTCACTCTTGATGATCGTTACGAGGGAAGGACCGTCTAGATATCTGAACGACCTTCTTATAAGACCCAATAATTTATTTGCCTGATTTACCTTCTTCTCGCAATGGCCCGAGAACTTCAGCTCATTGTCAATATACACACCTAGGTCTTTCTCACATTGTCTCAAATAGTGCAGTTTCTTCATCCCGTTGGGACGTATGATACGCCTCCTTACTGTTGGTACGCCCCAGGTGCATCCTCTTACACTTCGTGACATTGAATCAAAGCAGCTATTTCTTCGAACATTCTTGGAGCCCATAGAGGTCCTTCTGCAGCTCTTCACAGTCAATAGAAAGGGCAAGGGCCTTCCCATATGTTCTTGTAATCTAATGGAGGGTGCATGGTGATGACACTTAAGTAATGCCTTTCAGAACACTAACTGTAAAAGTATTAATGGAATAGGGGAAGCAATAAGATATTCCTGCAAATGTGCAGTGCAGAAAAGTTTCCAGTGAGTTCATTGTAAATTATTTTGATGTATTTTTCTGTACCTAATTGAGAAGGTAGAGTATCCCAGCACAACACTCAGGCCACAGATGACAGTAGTATTCCATCTGGAAGTAAACATAACTTAAATAAATGGTTGCCATCTTTTCATAGAAGTAGGTCCTGAGCCTGAACATAAGTCCAAGTTTCACTGAAGCAGTTTTGGCTAAAGTTCTAATGAAGTGTGTTATAATAAAAATAGAAGTAAGGGTGATGCATATATCCCGGTGCTGTGTGACGATAGGAAGACAAAGTTATCAATATTTCAATTGAAATAAGTTCACTATCGTGCCTGTTACTAGTACAGGGTATTTGTTTTATTTTAGTAACTTTGGAGGAAGCCAAGCTAGATGATCCCCCCCAGATGTACTTACAGTCTTCTTGTAGAGATGAGGTTGTCTGCTGTTTGGCATTAAACATTTACCATAATCTTGAGACTGGCAGAGTGAGGGATTATGGACGACTCAGTTTTCTGAGATAAATTTTACTGAGAAATATAATTATAGAAATGGTTATGTAAAAGAAGATTGTGAAGTCTTTCCTAACTCTGAAACCTAACAAAATATGTGTGTTTACATTGGTGCAGGGAGTGCAAAAATTGGGACAAGGTGGGGAAACTGAGTTCTTGTGTGGAAAAACTGAGAAGGGTGTTGTCACAAAAATTAGCAGTAGATGGCAATACCCATTGGTTGCCTGCCAAGCATGTTTTCCAGGTAAAACCCCCAAATTAGAGGCACAAACCAAAATACAAGATACATTCAGCTTTCCCTTCCAGGGCCTATGTTGCTTGACAATTATTTTGTCATCTTTTGGTCTTGAAGGTAAGCTTTTCTGTCCAAATTTTCAGGGTGTGAAATTTATGAAAAAATGTAAGTATGGCACCTGTGCAAATGATATATTACTGTAGAATCCCTTGCTTCCCCAAGAATTCTTGAATCTTATTATTATATTTGTATTGGTAGATAGTCTCAAGGTGTACAGAGTAGTAATTTATGGCATATAAGATGCATGGCTATTTAAGACTCACCCCGCATTTTAGCAGGAAATATTCAGGAAAAGAACCTGTGGATTTTCCTCCTGTAGCCATAGTTTTCTTAAAATAATTTATACAGTAGTGTACCAGTAAATGTGAGAAATCAATAAAAATAATACCAATAAATAAGTTACAACAAAAATACTGTATTGGCAAAGCAGTAAATAAAAGCCAAATGAAAGTTTAACACAGTCGCTATTTGCATATATACACTATTCCCTGGTTCTCCATAGCAACGGAGACACTACCCCCCACACACCTCACCGCCTCCTCCTCACCCACCAAGCCAGCTAATTCGCGTACAAAGAAATGTATATTCTCTTAATGTGTTTGCCCTTAGGATTATTATAATTATTATTATATATTTTATTTTTTTTTACTTTTTTCACAATATGTAGGATGGTGTGTACATGTAACTGAGTAAAAATTAACGAGGAAAGTTAAGTATGTCTACCCAGAATATGAGATGAAAAACAACCATAACACCTCACAGCTATGCCCAGTAGTCTTAGTGACGAGTCTAACCAGGCTACAATGCCACCAGCGATGTTAACAAATGCAAATGTGAAAAGAAAGTTACCTGTATCTGTAATTCTTCATTTGTATCAGGTATTTGTAAATTTAAAAATAAATGTTGCAGGTAAGGCATTAATAGATTGTAATGCTTGTAAGAGTTCTGAAATGGTTATTGCTTATCTACCTCTGAAGAGTTGGGTGTCTGCCGTATGGGCGTTAATCGTCTCGGGTTACCATCATCATTACACTACTAGTTATCAATCGAGCTTTTATATTTACAATAATTATTTTTTAGTTAATTAAAAATAATAATAATAACCTATTTTTAATTCTAGAGTTAGGTTAGGTAGAATTTAGCCTACTGGAGACAGCAACTGGGGGATTCATTAGCTTATGGGAGACTGCAACTTCACATATAGGACGCAGGCTGTTTTTTTTTTTTTTTAGCCATTATATGCTGTAAAATACGGTACTTTAATAATCACTAAGGTTGTTTTCCCTGTGTTATAATGTAGTGGACAGGATTTATGCTATGGTTGTATGGGAAAACCCTTAAAGAAATGGGAAATGACAACCCAGAGTTTAAAGTTTGCATATAAGCTTGGAACTCCAGGTACTAGGTGATTGACTTGAACCGTTGTTGAGCTCTTGAGTGGCTAGTGAGCCAAGGTTTCAGGGTATGTACTGTAATAGATTTCTGGGTACATGAGTTTATCATGCTACGGTAATAAATAATAACTTATTGTGACAAGCACAAATTTTAAAACACAGGAAAATAGATAATTTTAAAGGTAAAAATCAGTAATCGTACCAGTAGTTTAACAGCTTGACATTGTCTCCATATCTGGCAACTGCCTGTCATGTAGGAATTCAAAATGTCGCATTGATATACAGTGTAGATAAAAATTTTGAGGCATTTCAAATATGTTTTGGGGATGCTTTTCTGTAAGTATGAAAAAAGCATCCAAAGTTAATATTAAGGATTTTTTATCTAGTTATGATGAGATAAAAAAATGCTAACCTAACCTAATCAAACTTAAGCTACTATAATCCAATAAAACCTGTCCCCCCCCCCCCCATTTACTGTTAGGGTGTTTACAGTAATCATCAAGTGAAATAAGTGAGGACTCCTAATCTTAATGAGTTTCCTTAACATAGATTTTTCTTAGTCGAGCGGATGCAGCACTTACCTCCTGTTCCGGGTGTTGGTGGTTCAATTCGTAGGCTCTCCCAGTTCAACCAGTTGTAAATGGGTGTCTAAGTTTACAACATAAAGAAGTGAATGAGGTCAAGTGCAGTATTGGTCAAGCTGCCTCCTTGTAAACAGTGTCCCTAATATGCAGTCTTGCCTATGGGACCCACTTTTCACTATTATAAGAATACAAATATGGTAGAAAGTGGCTTTCATGATATAAGTGCTTGATGAGGACTGTTAAGGTTTTTTGTTGAACCAAACTCCTCTGTGATGGGGGAGCAACAGTGAGAAATAGAGGAGTAGTGGAGGTTTTTTAACTTGGTATTTATTCCATCAGTTTGTGACTATTTATAACTAAAACTGCACCCTGCACAGTACTGGTAAAGAGTGTCAGTGGTTGTACCAATGGAAGATAACTTGTTTTCCAGAGATGGGACGGAGGATCTCTTCAGCAAGCTTCACAGCACAAATGTTCCAGTGTTAGTGTTCTCTGCAGGAATGGGAGACATTCTGGAGCAGGTCCTTAGGCATTTTAATGTATACACAGATAATGTCAAAGTTGTCTCCAATTTCTTCAAGTACAATGAGGAGGTAAAGTGGGAAGCTATTTTGATAGTTGACTTTTTCATGGGTTTGAGGTACCATAATTGTAATGCAATTCAATACAGTACTTGTATGTAATAAATGGATATATTTCATAAAACTTGATATTGTAGTACAGTAGTTAGGATATACAGTACAGTATAGTACAGTACCTGAATTCCAAGTACAGTACAGGTATACCTTGCTTATACATTGTTTCACTTAAATGTTATTGATGAATAAGAGAAAAATATTATTTTCTCAAAAAGTAAAAAACAATTATATGATTACGCTTTAGTGGTGGACTACTTTGGTTCTCTTTAGAATGCCAAACAACTACTAAATACCTTCCCTCCCCAGCATCAGTTTACACATAACTCACCACATTCACTTGATCTTGTTTGTTTACATTGAGTTAAATCTTACAAAAACCATGCAAAATAAATAGAAAAAACACAGCAGGTAAAATTTGTGCCTTTAGTAGGCAAAAACAAGGAAAAGTATTAATATAGAGGTTAAATTAGATGTTTTAAGGCATTAAAAATTACTATGATTATTATTATTATTATTATTATTTTTTTTTTATGTACAGTATACATATATAGAAGTAATTTATTTTTTTTGAGATATTACAGTACAGGTTGTACCTCTCTAGTCCGGCATTCTGTGGTCCGGAAACTCCCGTGGTCCGGAACGATTTTAGTTTGTCCAATAGGTAGATAGGCTGCCTTTATTTATTTTATCTGAATTATTATTACAGGAGTATTAAATTTTGCCCCTCAGGCCCCAATGTGGGTCAGTGACCTATGCCGGGTGGGCTAATCATAAAAAAAAAAAAAAAAGCGCGGGGAAATTAAGGTTTGTTTACATCCGGCAGTTGGCTGCTCTCTCTCTCTCTCTCGCTTCTATACAGAGTACAACATTTAACCCTTCAATATATGAGCAGTAAATAAGTGTTGCTTTCATATTCTTATGCGGAAATGTGCGATATGTTTTCACATGTCGCCCTTACATATGGCGCAGTCTCACTTTTTTTACATTAATAGTTAGCTACTTATATTGTTCCATTTATTAACATTAAATAACATTACAGGTACTTCAAACAACCATATTAATTTTTTACATTAATTTTACCACAGCTAAAATCAGGGTCTTATTTTCTTCAGTTTTATATGTAGAACCAATCAGTCACTGGTTTTGTATGCTTTTAACATAAACAATGCGGCAGCCGTCTCATCTCCTCTAATATTCCGCGTATTATTAATAAATTGTATTGTTAATTTTACACAAACATTAATTCAATAAACAAATTCAGAAACATTAATTAAAATATATATGAACAGTAAATAAGTGTTGCTTTCATATTCTTATGTAAAGTAATGACGATATGTTTTCCTATGTCTTGTATGCGCTTTTATCTGTGATTCTCTTTCTTTCATAGCTACTTTATTGTTCCATTTATAAACATTAAATAACATTACTTAAAACAACCATATTAATTTTACTACAGCTACAACTAAGGTCTTATTTTCTTCAGTTTTTATATGTAGAACCAGTCAGTCACTGGCTTTGTAATCAACGAAACAATGCTGTTTCTCGTGTGTTTTAATATTCCGTTATTATTAATGAATTGTATTGTCATTTTGCACACAAACATTAATTCAATAAAAGACATTCAGTAATAAACAATAATGAATCTTTTGTACATAAGAAATGAGCTGTTTACACGATTATGCACGCCGTCTGCACGTTGGCGGTTGTTCAAACCCGTGCGGAATTAAAGTTTCCGGCCAAAATTTATTTTTATTTATTTTTGTATGTTCCAATAAAATCGTTAAGAATTAAAAACTCGCTTAAATTGAGAAGCTACTTTACGACATTTAACCCTTCAATATGTCTTCAAAGAGACCATGATGCAGAGAAAGTGGTGCAAGTGCTTCCAAGCATAAGCACAAGTCACTATCTATCCAGGAAAAGGGTGAATTTCCATGGTCCGGCACAGTCAGGTCCCGAGGTTGCCGGACTAGAGAGGTACAACCTGTATTAGGAGAAAGTAGCTTCACATCATCACTGTCATTGGCTGTAATACTCAACAGTTCAATATAAAAAAAATGACAGATGCTCCTAAGGTGCCAAGAATATTATTCAACTTTTGTTAATGGATATTAAGTGATGTTAAAATTATTTCAGGGTGTTATGGTTGGTTTCAAAGGTGAACTGGTACATGTGTTCAACAAGAATGAAAATGCAATCCACTCATCAAATTACTTTAACAAGCTCAAAGGACGAAACAATGTGATTCTTATGGGAGATTCCCTTGGTGATATCAAAATGGCTATGGGTGTACCACAGCCAAGTAATGTCTTGAGGATAGGATTCCTTAATGACAAGGTAAGGGAAGTTTTGAAGCATTGTCTCTTGTTAAATTTGATGTTCATTGTGCAGGTGAGTGATTGAATGAAAGAGTTGGCTTATGTGGGATTGAGGCAGAGTTGTATGATGTCATCTTTGCTTTTGTTTTTAAAAATAATTGCATATTAGCCATATATTATATCAAAGTTCTTATGCTTTATAATTACAGTAATTTATTTGGAAATTAATTATTGTACAGTAGTATTTTATTTCTAGTGATGTAGCAGACAATCATCTTTATTCCTATGGGTAAGTTAGGGACAACAGTGTAAAACCATTGAGTACAGTATTTGCATAAGCATGTTCTTCATGTTTATATCATTCCTTTTCACTTATCAAGTTATCAATATATTTTCTTTTTTAGGAAGAGCGTCTGGAGGCATACATGAACAACTTTGATATAGTTCTTATTGATGACCAGACTATGGATGTTGCAGGGTCAATAGTTGGCTTAATGAAATAATAAATTTGAAAAAATGAATATACGTCCAGTAGTGAGAGTAATGAAGAAGTGTTGGATTCTAAACCACTTAGTGCTTTATTCAGAAATGTTGTATTATAGCTTAGCATTCTTTGAAAAAACACTGTTGGTGAAAGTACCATTCATTGTGATGCTGTATCATCAGTAGATTTGTACTCTTGTAGCAACATGGTGACAAAGTTCAAAGTAGAGATCTTGGATGGACCAAAGAAGAAAATCATCGGTGAACTGATGTTTAGCAGTGCATTAACAATGGGGCAGAAGTTTGATCATTTTGATGAAAAGTAATGTTGAATTAGTATACAGTACAGGTGTTCTACTTATGAACGAGTTACGTTCCTGAGGTTTGTTTGTAAGTCCAACTTTACTCTTGTAGATACCAAACATATTGTAAAAATGAAAGATTATGGATATTTAGTACAGCTATACCCTTTAATACAGTCTTAAAACCTGGCTCACTTTCTCCTTCGGTAATGTTTGTTCTATATGGAATTTTCTTCAAAATAATCCCAGGTTTATCTCAAATTTTGGGCTCATTCGTCCACACTAAGAACAGTAGTATTTTTTCTTAGGAAACTGAAAAATTCCTTTCCTACTCCCACAGCATGGCACAACAGTACTACAAAAGGTTTGGAAACACCTACACATCAGCCTTATTTTAACAATGGCCCAAGGCTGAACATCTCCATTATTTCAACTGTTATTATACAGTATACTGATAATTTGTTGTTCAAATTTGTTAAAGTTGAGTTATATTTGAGTCTTTTAACTATATAGTCTAATATTTGATGGAGATACATTTGATAATCTAGATACCACCGGGTATCTAAGACTCAAAGACACCATGTAGACGCTGTTAGGTCGTCACTTAATATAAATTTTATGTAACACTATTGTTTTAGAAGTTGTTACAGTACATCTTTTCTAGGATTTTCTACATGTTTGAGCTGCATAAATTTATTTGTGCAGTCTTGAATGATTTCATTTGCCCTAGTAAGAAAACAAATTGGTTAAAAACTAAAAGTGTACTCATTAAAAGCCTCCATCTTTTATAATTCACTTGGGTTGATATGCGAGCATAGTACAATACAGTACATAATATGCAGATTTCCTTACTGTATATGCAAAGACTCCATGAAAATTTTGCCCTTATGCACCCTGGTGTGAGCTGGTATGCTGTAACTTCTAGTGTAAGAAATATTATACGGTATATGTCTTTAATGTTTCATTACTTGGAGAAGTATTTAATTCTTTTAATACTGTTTCATTAAATTAGTTTTTAACGATTAAAGACACAAATATCAAAGACAGTCGATCAGTTGATGAAAACGTACTTTCCCTCATGACATGAGTCACCTTGAGTCTGAATAACTGCAGTCCAGGAAGCAGTTGTCCAGACTCAGGGAGAGTTATTATTTGTTAAAACGTATTTTTAAGTGATGGAATTAGTGTTGAAGTGAGAAAAGTGGTTTCCTAAGAATTGTTTACTTTATCCTTTTTGCCAATGGACTGCTCTCTACCGGACCTATGTATACTGTAGTGTATCCTCTTTGCCTTTAGTATAAGAGCATTAATTGTGGCTTTAATGTTTCATTTCTTAGAGAAGCATTAAAATTTTTGTTACATTAAAAAAAAGTATGTTTTAAAGTTCAATAGTAAAAGAAGATGATCAGCTGATGGTGCCTAGACCATCCAGCAGCATTTACGAGCCCACTTATGGTTAATGACACTATATGTTCTATTGTTCCATGTATTCATTTCTTAGTTAAACATCAAATACTTTTAGTACTGAATGTTTCATTAAATAATTTTTTAAAGGTTTAGTGAATAAATTTCAAATGAAGACATTAAAACGGTTTCTTATAACCTCAATAGATGGCAGCATGAGAGGACACGTCTTCTACTAGCACAGGCCACCAGGCCCAGTATAGTAATGTGCTGTTACTGTACCTTACTACTTGAGTCATCTTGAGTTTGAACAATTGCAGTCTAAGAAGCAGTTGTTAAGACTCTGTGAGTTATAATTTGCTAAAAGTTTTGAAAGGTAGAATTAGTGTTGAACTGAGAAAAAGTGCTGTCTTAATGTATGCATGTTATTCGATTCCTCACTGGTTGGCTGTGTACTTTACCTTCACTACTGTAGCATATTCTCCGTGCCTTAATTGTAAGAACATTAAGCATCTTTAATGTTTCATTTCTTAGAAAGCATTAACTAATTTTAATGTTACATTAAATATGAATTTTAATACTACAAACTGCTAACAAAAAATTGCCAGATTTGAAGTTTGGAAAGGTTCAGAAAAGGTTCTTGGAATGCATCTCATTTTTTTCCTCCATATTACCAAGTATTAAATTTATGTGAATTAGAATTATGTGAGGTTTTGGGAGAACATAACCCTTGCATATATTAAGACCCAAGTTTACAGTTAAATAAATTGTCTTGCTTGTATGTAATGAGTACATTGTTTGTTTTTTGCCTTAATAAAAATCATGAAGAAATTTGTTCCAAGCCTGAAGAACATATTTTTTGTAAACCAAAATTTTTATTGTGCTAGATCCAGTTACTTAAACATTTGTTGTCTACCTAACTTTATTGTTCCTTTTTGATGTAATGTTATATTAATGTTTACTTGTGGCTCCAGCAAGGGGTGAAGTACCAGCTTCACATTGGTTTAGTGATAGAACTTTCCTGGGATGAAGCATGTACTGTACTGTATAAAGTTACATAGGGATGTGTGCAAGTCACTCAACTTTACAAAACCGATCTTTGTATAAAATATTTCACCCTCTATATTCATGTTAACCATAAGTAGTACAGTGAACATTGTGGTGCATGGAGACATTGTGTTTAAGTTGATTGTAAAGCTTACTGTATAAGTAAGCAGAGAATTATACATGAAGAACATTGCAAGTTTTCATACATTTTGTCACAACTCTGTTCCATAGTGCAAGTACTGTACAATCATTTTTCACTTAGAACAAAACCCAGATATGTAGCTTATATTTTTTATAGAAGTGATTCACTGTTATGTTGGATTACATTGCAGAATATACAGTTGGCTTTGTATGAATACACTCTCAGGATCTTTCTAGTATAAAATAAAATTACCCCCCAAAATTGTCTACTGTACACATTTCATTTACCTCTGTTCATTGTTCTCATACATTCTTCATTTCACACATGTAATTTTTTTATAAAGGAAAACAGCAGATTATCAGTTAATTGGGTGATGTATTTTGTGGCGGTAACCATGTGGCAATAACAAGGCAAGGCTGAAAAACTAACATGGGGATATGTACCTAGACTATTTCAATAAGTTCTGTTACATAGGTGATATAAACAATGCCAATGGTGGCACTAAAGCTTGCCTTTTACAAGAATCTAAAGTGGCTGGAGGAAGTTGTGAGTTGTTGTTTATTAACGCAAGAGGACTTTCTCCCCGTCTGAAAGGAAGAATGTACAGTATTGTGGCTGGTGTGAGAAGTATGATGATGTATGGTGGTGAAATGGCAGTTACTGAGGATGACATAAGCAGGCTTGAGTGAGCTGAAATAAAAATGTTGAGGTGATGTGTATTGTGACATTGAAAGACAAAACCCACCTGTCAATTTTGATGTTAACCGAGTGATTATAACAATTTAAAATTAACTGTTCATAGAAAAATATTTATAATATAAGTGTTAAATACCTTTTTTAACTAATTTGAATTTGCTGTTTAATTTGATTAGCATATACAGTATGATCATATCAGAATAACATTACAGTAGTATTAATTGATTCACTGTATAAATTAATTGGAGTCATCAAATGCCTGACCTGACGGTATAAAATAAGTTAACCTAATCAAACCCTATGCAATGTATAAACAGTCAGATCACATGAGAAAATGAGTGAACATCAAAACAGACAGGCGAGTTTAATTTTTGTTTTTATACATACAGTAAAGTACAGTACTGAGTTTTGTTGTGTGCCTTGTCATACCTCAGATACATGAAGTTTTGTTTGCAAGTGCTTGTATTTGGATTTGTGTGTATGTTTTCATTTGTGTTTGATGTACTGTACAGTATAATTATGTAAAGTACAGTACAGTACAGGTATTTGTGTCCTGTGTGCATGTTCATGTGTGTGTTTGAGCTTGAACATGCAGAAATAGGTGTGTATGGTTAAGTTTAAATGTATTCAGTATGATTAGGTTAAATAAGTGATCATGTTACCTGTTTAAATGTTGATTCTTTAGCTATGAATGTGTATTATAAGCAGGCTGTCAATGTAGTGACAGGAAATAAAAGTCAATTTTTACTTTGGGATTTTTTATTTAAATACCATTAACAACTTAGGTTGAGTTAGGAGCTGGAGTTAGGATCCCATTAGGGTCATAGCTTAAGGCTGAAGCCACAAGATTATAAAATTGTCAGAGAAACTTTTTGGAGTGAGAGAAGTGAACTCTTGGAATAATCTGCCAGAAAGTGTTGTGATGGCACCGTGTGAGCTCTTTCAATACCAGATTTAACCAACACTGAGTGGCACAGGTAGATACATTCTGGAATCTGGAACCAGTACATGCCCAGTGATTGCCAATGGATACATAACCGATCAAGCAGCCAACGAGCTGATCTGCGGTGAAGGACCACAGCTCAAAGTTGAAGAAGCCACAAGTCCAGAAAACTGTTAGGGCGAACTTTTTCGGGGTGAGAATTGTGAACTCTTGAAACAATCCACCGAAGTGTTGTGGACGCACCGAGTGTGAGCTGTTTCAAGACCAGACTTGACCAAGTTAACCAACACTGGAGCAGGATCAGATACATTCAGGAGTCAGTGCATACCCAGTACTTGGCAACAGTGTGTAACAGAGACGTGACAGACCGCCTGATCAGCTAACAAGCCGATCATTGGCGAAGAGGATAAAAGTAAAAAAGTAAGGTTGGGTTAGGATAGTTTAGGTAACATTTTCGACATTCGTGAGTGTGTATCGGTATAGTTGTGAGAATATTTGTACTTCTGTGAAAGCATTAAAGATGATTATTTCTATTCTTGTGTGGAGATGTGAATAATATATTGCATGTGTGTTCTTCAAATTAATACACCCTTGATGACGTAGCTGAGCTAAACAGAAACATAATCAGTCCGCAGAACTGCTATGATGCAATCAGTCGCTTTCATGGCACTCAGCCAAATATGAACCAAATCGTTTTACAAAGATTATAAGATATTTTTTACAATATTTCGCCATACGAATTCTAATTTTATTTCTTTATAATATAAAGGATATGAGATGCGGGACATGGTCGTGCTTTTTTTCCCTGGAGTGAGTAGACACCTATATTTTGAGGAGAAACCATTTTAACAATTAATCAATAACTTAATAATAATGCAATGTCACGTTTCTGATTCATTGTAAATCATTAAATCACTTAAAATGATTCTCGCCTCAATTACCATGGGCGTGCTTAGATGCACTTCAGTACATTTCATTTTATAACTTATTAATAACCTAAATTGTCTCTATCAATTTCAGCGTCTTGCTTTAATAGTCACCTCATCTCTGGTACAATTTGTGGAATAAATCAAACCCACTATTATGTGTTTACTTATTTACCTTAACTACGGGGGGAGGGGGGTGGGGGTCTACAATTGTTCAAATTTACTAGTGTGGTTATTTTTTGCTTTAATTCAAAGGATTAGATATCCATTACTGTGTCCTCGGTTAATGTACAATATGAGAAAATTAAAGTGGATAGCTTTAAATCATACTGGGAAAACACTAGGCGGTTCTAGGGAGTGTGAGTGTTGGCGACTGTGAGAGGCCGTTCAGCTGATCCACCATTATCGCGGCCGGCCACCGAGACTCACCTCTCCCTTTACACTGAAAATGTTCCGTTCAGCACTTACACGGGTCAGCCATGTTGCTAGGTCCTCTATGCTTGATACCTCGGCCAGGGTTCCTGCAGGTGAGTTATGACGGCGGATTCATGGGAAAGGTGTAATTGAGGGGATTAAAGAAAAGTTTCCCCAGTAGCCGTTTGGTGCCGTCTTATATTTGTTATTTGGTATCTGTTCTTTGTTAAGTCTTTTAATAACTTTCTATAATCTTACCAATTATGTTCTTTACGATAACACCGAAGAGTTCTTTGTACGGCAATAGTTTATAGTATTAACGCATTTCTTGCAGAATGATTAAACGTAATTTCGGTCAAGGTATCATCCTTTAGGCTTGTACACATTATGTATAGTACTGTGCTGTATTGGAATTTTCACTCACTGAAGCGTCATATTTGGAAATACTGGGGGAGATGGCGTATATATCGGTATTATTTCACTTGTTGCCCCTACACGAATCTTGGAAATTTTATAGTTGCAATCGGTAGTTTTGACAATTCGGTAAATATTCGTCCATCGGCTGTCCTCAGGTTTTGATACAAGAATATTTTTTTTGCTTATGGTTTGTGTTATTTGAATTTGACCTTCATTTCTTGTGGAAATTAGCGGTTTTTGCAAAAAATGAAAATTTTCATTGTAACAAACCACTAATTTGCAAAAAAATAGCGGTCGGGTTTGAGTGAAACGCACTATAAAAAAAAATAATAACCTAACCTAACCTACAATATATACAACCTAGCCCAGTCATTTGGAGCTACTGTGGTGGAGGATACAGTTGGGCGATCTGGAGAAGGAAGTGGTGGAGGATGGTAATTTCTGTCCTTTCTTAAAACTAAAAAATTTCCACACTTAGGACACAGTCTTGATGTTGATAGGACACTGTGATCTTGTAATATTTTTATTGCTTCAGTGTCGTTCTCATAAACTCGGTGAATAACAGTTAAATATGGGAGAGAACGCATATTGCATGGCATCACGAAAGCCTTCAACATTTGAGAGTGCGCGGAGGAAGACTGGTAAACTGGTAAAAAATGGGGTGCTGGACAACTCGTACCCATCAAAACATGTCAAGTCGTACCCATATATATATATATATATATATATATATATATATATATATATATATATATATATATATATATAATATTGTGCTACTACAAGCAACATTTGTATACAATTTAGATAAAAAATGCAGCTAAAACCATTATGATAAAGCTAAATGAAAGTTAAACACAATTGCTGCAAATGAAAAGAACATTATATGTAAATCTTCATTTGTATCAGGTACAGTATTTGTAGATTTAAAGTGGCATATGTACCGGTGTAGTGAAAGAGGTTCTGCTGTTCATGCAGTAACAAAGAAAAAAATCTAGGGGTATGGTAGATAACCCCAGGATGAAAAAGCTCATCGTGAACATGTACAGCTAACATTCACCATAAATAACCCCTAGATAGGAATGAATTTTAACCCCTCAAAAATACTATGCATATATAGTTCAACCCCTTACTTTTTGCATACAAATTTGATGATAAACATTCAAACTGTACTCGAGTATATGGTATACTGTACACATCAACTTTATCTCACACTGCACTAAGTCGTCCATGTCACATGTACTATTGTATGTTCTAGAATCTTACCTATATCTATTAACATTTTAAATAGCAAACTACTGAATTTCCTGGAAGTATATCATAAATATGATTATTTTACTTGAACTAATTTGAGTTTAATAAGCCAATCTGTGTTTGCGTAATATCCTGGTTGTTTTGAACATTTGCGCCTCCCTGCTGATATGGATGTCCAAATAACAGATTTCGTCCGAGTAATGACTTCGTTGTGGCTTAATTAGTCAAGTATTGGAATCAGGGTCTTTACTGTATTTCATCCAGTAGGTAATTGTGTGGTGGGACTTCATCCAGGAGAAGGGGAGTTACTCCTTATGTGTGCCACTTCAGGTGTGTACCAATCTGGAGGGTGGGTTTTTTATCACATATTATATTCCCCTAATGTGTAGCATCATGTCATAGGTGAACTTTTTGAGATGGTTGTGGAATAGAAAAGTAGGGTAAAGTGATAAATCATTAGATATTTTATTTTGACTAAGGAAGAATATGTTCTATTACAGCAACAGTGAGCCGCAACATGTCTAAGCACTCCACAGAAACTGATGCAGAGTTGGATGCTCGATATGAAGCCTATTTCTCTAGGCCAGACATTGATGGGTGGGAAATTCGCAAGGTAGGTATAATTCTGTTGTTGAGCATTTTTGTGTTGGTTTTTGAGACTAATTATGAGGTCCATCACTGACCAAGTTTTCTTTAAAATTGATCTTACTTTCAGATTCACATGATAATACTTGTCTGTGTTGCTTAATACAATACCTGTACAGTATTGCTTTTTCAAATTGCAGTACTTTTTAATTATGATGGATCCTCTGAAATTGTTCCTTTGAATTTAGAATTCTTTGGCTTGGCATTGAAAATTATGTTTTATTGTTGGATTTTTATTTTCTTGAAAAGATTAAAAAGCCGATGACCATGCTGGTCACTTAACTATCTAGCAGAAATAACAGCATGCTGTATCAGATGCTTTATTTCTTGCTTGGCATTACAGTATCTTTATAGCATTGATTCACTAATAGACAGAAATTAATGTGGCATGACACCATATCATTGGTGTATCAAAGACAAATGTGTAGTTGGTTTATCATGGCGAAGATGAAGCCAGCCAAAGTGATAGAAGGTGCTGATGGTGTCTTGTATTTCTTTGTAGGTTAAGTTCTTATAGATTAAATTTTTATCTTATGACATTTTACCAAGTTCATTACGTAGTATGTATTTGTATATGCAGTCTCTCCTCGACTTCCGTCCCGACGATCAGGTCGTAAGTCGAATTGGTCGTAAGTCGAAAAGGCGAAAATAATACATAGAAATTCTAAATGGGTGTCTCTTTTTCTTCTCAGCACCACAAGAACTCTCAATTTTACGCTTTCCAGTCATTTTAAATGGAATTACAAACGAAAATTTTGTCAGTACACAGCGCAATCACTAACTTCGGTACTAAAAATACGTAATTTGAAAAATATTTTATTCAACCACGGCGGTCGTATGTCTGGGTTGTCGCAAGTCGAGTATGTTGCATGTCAAGGAGTACCTGTAGTAACCTGTGGCATAATACCAAAGGCAAGATTTAATATTGGCAGTAAAGAATTTATTTAACTGTAAGTCACATGGAAGCAGGTATCTGTCTATGTCCAAAGATACTGTAATAGTCATTGACAAGAATACTTTTAATTTATTCAGATTTTTTGTGATTTGTGGTCAGCCACCTTTCATGTGGCACTTTGAATACAGTGTATGCACTCATTAATTGATGTCTAAAGCCCAGAGGACTTTGACACTTGTGGCTGGGAATATTTGTAATGATTAGGAAATTCCCCCAAAATATTAATTGCCCTAAAAGGGTGGTGATTAGAAGTGCTGGTTTTGTCCCTTATGCAAAGATAAGGGAGGTCTAGTAGGCATGCTCAACCTATTTCATACCTGACCACACCCTCCCACTAAACAGGTGTTCACACTGCAATTTTGTAGATAAGTGCTTCAGCTCATTAATTAGTCTTCAGTAAAAGATTTATTTCACATTACAATACAAGCGTTGATTTAGGTCTGTTTATGATCCAGTTTGAATTTAACTGATGTCCATTGGGGTGCCAACTTCACCCACTATTAAAAACGGATTTTACATATGTAATGTGAACTGAAGTTAAATTACAAGAATTTGTTTTAGTGAAGACTTCTTCTTTTATTAGAAAAAAGTTGTTGGTGATATTTTTTATTTAAGAACTTAAAGGAATCATTTTGCCATTTGATATCAGATTGGATTATTTAATGAAAGCAATTTGGCCTATGTCCCAAATTATAATTACAGCTGATAACACTAATTACTAAATTAGAAAATGTGTATGATAGACATCTGTATTCATATTGCCCACATACAAATCTAAATGCTGTATACTTGCATGATTTTTCCAGGAGTAGAACTTCATTTTCATAATAGATGCCTTCCTGTGTAAAGATACTGTACATGGTTTTGAGGCTTTGTCATACCTCCTCATATCATTTTTTATATTTTTACTCTTGAATAGAGACATGGTTTTTAAAAAATTTTTGAAGTAATATAATTAAATTTGAAGGTACAAGACATTACTTTCTTTCAGGCCATGAATGACTTGTGTGGTATGGATTTGGTACCTGAACCTAAGATTGTTATTGCTGCCCTGAAGGCCTGCAGGCGCAACAATGATTTTGCTTTAGCAGTTCGCTTTTTGGAGGCTGTCAAAGAGAAATGTGGTGGTAGAGTGAAGGAAATTTACCCTTACATTCTTCAGGTAAGTTTAACTCTATGTGGTAGGAAGGATGAGAGAGCCATTTAATACAAAGTTGGTCTGGTGCTGGGGGGAAAATTCATGTAAGCAGTGCAGGCCCTATGGTCATACCATGGTATTGAATTCAGGTAAAGGAAGAAGCAAACTCTGTTGAACACTTCTTTTATTATGTTCTTACAATTAAAGACACCAGTTTATATTAATGTGGTAAATTACTTAACTAGCTTAGCAAGTTTACCTTGAGATAAATTCATTTTAGATTTGTTAACTAGCTAAGTAAAGAGAAGCTTAATGTAGTAACTAACATGAGATTACCCAGAATTCTTCTGACGTGTATAGTACCTTCTAAACCTGAATTGGTGTGCTAATGCCTGGTTAGGTTAGGGTTGACCATGATGGGAAAGGAGAATGAGGATTACGGGATAAGTTGTGAGAACATGTATCCTAGTCAAATTTGTTCCACCCCATTACCCCAGATGAAAGTAATATGGAAAGCCAGTGTGAGTGGGCACCATGATGGATGAGCATGTGGTTGGCAGCATTCTTTTTCCCACAGCTTTGTCATCATTGTCTTTCTTTAGCTATGGATGCTACAGCCAAACCAGTCACAGGGCTAAACAGTGACATTTAGTATACATAATGCTGATCTTTACAATTTACGTAGTGTTTATATACAGTGACCCCTCCGTTAACGAACTCAATCCGTTCCAGAAGGTCGTTCGTTAACCGAAACCATTGTTTCAATGGGTTTTTGGGTAATTGGTTCCAGCTCACCGAAAATTTCCTAAATTCAACAAAAATGGTAAAAAAGTTCACTAACTTTGAGGTGTGTATGTAGAAGGCTCCTGGATGATGATGATGATGATGATGATGGGATTTAGAATGGGGGTGGAGGAGAAGGAAGAAGAGAAGACATTGGGGTGGAAGAGAAGTCACCCCATGGCGCCATTTCACCCATAAAATTTTAGCTCTCTTGGTGTAATTCAAGATTATTTTCTTTAAATCAACACTGCACTGCATTATATATTGTCAATATGTAAAATATATTTCAAAATGACCAATAATTTGCTTGGAAACAGAAAAAAAGCGTTTAGTTGAAGAGAGTCTCAAGCAAGATGTTACCTCCAGTGAAAACCAGTGCCGCGCATTAAACTAGTCACTTTACCTTCAATTATGTTCAATAATTGTTAAAATGACTAAAAAATTTAATATTAAACTTTTAAAATTATTGAATAGTATAAACTTCTTGATATTTACTAAAATAGTAAGGAATTTAAGCCCTAGAACCGATTAATGTATTGGCGGACTAATACTAAAGCTGTTTGCCTGGTCAGTGCAAGCGAAAACATGTTGAGGTCGGTTCGTAAGAACTTCGTTAACCGAATTTTTTTTTGTTAACCGAATTGAAGATCCTTATGGAAGGCAGTTCGTTAATCGAAATTACGTTAACCGAGGTGTTCGTTAAACGAGGGGTCACTGTATTCATTTTTTGGACGTACAATTGATTCTACTTAATGCCACTTAATGGTAATTTGACTTTTGGTAAATTTTTTTTAGATACCAGGCAATTGCATAAATTTTGTTTTACTTCTATAGCTGGCTTATTACAAGACAGTGATTTACTTGATATTGGGTCTTCATTGTATTGAACGTATAAGTGATTTACCGGCGTATGTTGTTTATCAGGATCTTCTTAGGTGGCACATTACATAATTATACAATATAAAGATTTGTGCAGTTCACATAGGATAGGTTCAAGACATTAAGTATAGGATTGTGATTTGTTAAAATGCCATTATTCATAGTGCCAAATGTTGAAGTCTGATACAGTTGATAATGAATGCTCACAGCACAGATCAGGTATTACTTGTGTAGTTATTGTATTTGTAATTCAATTCAATTTCAATTGTTTATTCCTTGATAGAGGAAGCGGGATCCTAGTGCTGTCACTAGGTACCCCTGTACAATGACACCAGAAGCATCTGGCAAGTGTGACAAGTATATACAGTAATAATATTATAAAGGGGCTTACTAATGCCTAAGGAATGAAGTCGCTATTTGTAATTATTCTTTTGCATCATTGTATATAATGGAGTTATGTTTGAACTATGAATTTATTTTTGGCACAGGAGATAAACCCAACCCTGCAGGAACTTGGCATCAATACTCCAGAAGAATTGGGATATGACAAGCCTGAGCTCGCCCTTGCTAGTGTTTATGAATAAATAATCCTGAGCTCATCAGTTTCTTAGTGATAAGTGGTGAGAAAATATTTCCATTGAGTGCAGTGATGAGCAGGAGCCTGAAAAGTGCTTGTTGATTATTTTTGTTCAACTCTGACAAGAACATGATAAACAGTCACATGATATTTAAATGTACACCCCAATTAATTGGGAAAATTCTTCTATGCCGTGTGAAGAAAATGTGATTAATTTGTACAGATAGAGAGTTCTCCGGATCTAATTTACTTCACAAATATATAATGTACAGATGGTGGTGCATTTTCAATACCCTTGTTATGTGTAACAGTAAGGTTGGTATGCAATGACCTAATGTACTGTATTATGATGGTTGGATGGTATACAGTAAAACATCATTAACACCGGACAATTACAGCACTTCCCTCAGTTGCTTCGTTATTCGAACCTCAGGTAATTCAGTCATATTGTGGCTGGCTGAGGGAAGGAACTTTTGTTCACCATAGTACACTACTTTTTAAAATTAATTTTGTTTAAAAACATGTATTTCTTTCATAAAACTTGGTTACATTGGTGTTGTACTTTTTTTTTTTTTTTAAATGGCAGTCTTTTGGGAAAAATTTGCCTGGGAAGATATTGGATGCATAATGTGTTGTTTAATGGTAGACTCTGCTGCCATATGGCATCACAAAAATTATGACCCAGTCCCAGGTTGTTGATCTTGACTTTGTCTCATTTACACACAATTGTAGGGTTTCAATTGTTTCTCTTACTTTGACAACACAGCATATATACTGTATCGTTTCTCACTATTGATTTTTTTTATGGTTCTTTATAATTATTATCAGTGTTGTTATTATTTAATTTTATTTATAATTTTGTATAATGTATTATCATTTTTATTTACTATGAATTACAGGTTGTACCACTCTAGTCCAACATTCTGTGGTCCGGAACAATTTTAGTTTGTCCAATAGGTAGATAGGCAGCTTTTTTTTTTTACTTATCTGAATTATTATTATTATTACAGGAGTATTAAAATTTTGCCCCTCAGGCCCCAATGTGGGTCAGTGACCTATGCCCGGGTGGGCTAATCCCCATAAAAAAAAACAACAAAGCCTCGGGAAATTAAGGTTTGTTTACATCCGGCAGTTTGGCTGCTCTCTCTCTCTCTGCTTGTCTATACAGAGTACAACATTTAACCCTTCAATATATATGAGCAGTAAATAAGTGTTGCTTTCATATTCTTATATAGAGTAATGACGATATGTTTTCACATGTGCGCACTTACATACGCGCAGTCTCACTTTTTTTTTTACCATTAATGGTTAGCTACTTATATTGTTCCATTTATTAACATTAAATAACATTACAGGTACTTCAAATAACCATATTAATTTTTTTACATTAATTTTACTACAGCTATAATCAGGGTCTTATTTTCTTCAGTTTTATATGTAGAACCAGTCATTGGTTTTGTAAGCTTTTACATAAACAATGCCGGCAGCTGTCTTGTCTCATCATGTGTTTTCATATTCCACGTATTATTAATAGATTGTATTGTTAATTTTGCACACAAACATTAATTCAATAAAAACAGATTCAGAAACATTAATTAAAATATATATGAACAGTAAATAAGTGTTGCTTTCATATTCTTCTGTAAAGTAATGACAAAATGTTTTCACATGTGTGCACTTACATATGCGATCTCTCTTTTTTCTTTACCATTATCGTTAGCTACTTCTATTGTTCCATTTATTAACATTAAATAACATTACTTAAAACAACCAGTTTTATATGTAGAACCAGTCAGTCACTGGTTTTGTAATCAACGAAAACAATGCTGTGTCATTTCCTCGTGTGTCTTAATATTCTACGTATTATTAATGAATTGTATTGCTCATTTTGCACACATAAACATTAATTCAATAAAAAAGACATTCAGTAATAAACAATAATGAATCTTTTGTACACAAGAGAAATGACGCTGTTTACACGATTATGCATGTCGTATGCACGTTGGCGGGCCGTTCAAACCCGTCGAAATTCAAGTTTCCGGTGTCAAAATTTTATTAATTTTTTTTTGTGTGTGTTCCAATAAAATATGTTGAATTAAAAACTCGCGAAATTTGAGAAGCTACTATACGACATTTAACCCTTCAATATGTCTTCAAAGAGACCATGATGCAGAGAAAGTGGTGCTAGTGCTTCCAAGCCTAAGCACAAGTCACTATCTATCCAGGAAAAGGGTGAAATTCCATGGTCCGGCACCGGTCAGTTCCCGAGTTTGCCGGACTAGAGAGGTACAACCTGTATTATTATTTTAATTTTGTATTTTTATTATAAATGTTATTTACTATGAATTATTATTATTAAATTTTCGCCCCCCCCCCAGGCCCCGATGTGGGTCAGTGACCTGTGCCTGGGTGGGCTAGTCCCTGTAAAAAAAAAAAAGTATCCTGGACACCTAATTTGGATGTACAGGACTTGCGGATGGTGGGCAAGTCTCCAGCCAAGATGATGATGTAACCCACTAGTTGTTGAATGTTATGAATGAGGATAAGTGGAAGGCTTGAGAAGTGTTATCCGACAAGGGACTTACAACTTGTTTATTACCAGTTTCAAATACTGTAGATTATTCTTGAAAACGGTGCAGATCTAGTGAGAAAAGCGGGGTTACAAGCCAACACAAAATTAATGTACAGCTCCCAAACAATTTTTGTGTAAATCAACAATCGGTAAGAAATACCTTAATAAAATGAGGGGTTTACTGAATAAAATTATCAGGCATTAGCCATATAAACTATTAAAAGTGACGTACAGTAGTTAAGGGGTTAAAAGATAGGATACCAACACTTTGGTCACTGATGTGAATTGTTTGTTTGCTCCCTCACAGTCAGTTGCTGGTAAAAGGGGCATGAAAAGTTAAATGAAAAATAGAATGTACAGTACGCTGTTCTAATGTACAGTATCGCAAAAAAGTATCTTCCGGGATGGGTCCAATGACTTCCGAAATGCTACGTGCAACTTCTGATGTCCTGGGAGGGTTGGTATGTATGGCTCTGTGGCATACTGATCCTACCACATTTGGCAACCCGACATCAAATTAATTACAACAAAATAAATACACATTGCATTACTTAAGTTAAGCTATGTACAGTATTTTGTCTAATATTAAAAGGACCTATAAATCTAATCAAGCCCAAGAGATGACTTGGAAAAGTTAACTAAATTCAGGTGAGTTTCTGCTTGCTTGGTTATTTCAGAGTACAGTACAGTAATTTGTAGTTAGAAATGTAGCATTATAAACATGCACCAAAAATTATGAATAATTAGGGGAGATTTATTGGCAACCATAAATATTTTTTTAAGTCGATGTAGATATAATTAAAATACGGTGGTACGTGAACATACAGTTTATTTAGGTTGAAGTCCTAGATTCTATTTTATTCCATGGTTCAACTCATGGCTGCCATGTGTCTTCTTGCAATAGCTGTTATATAGGACAACAGGATAATGATGACTTCACTGAATAAAGGGTAAAAACCACTACTGTACTCTATTGTCTGAATTGTTTGCTGGTTTTCCGAATTAATCCCGAATCATCTCTACGTGAAGTTTAAGAGCACTATTATCATGACATAACCCCTTTTGGGGAGACTAGTAATGGCTCCCCAGACTGACGAAATTTTTTTTTTAGTAATATTTAATGTAAAAATTTATACACCAAAGCAAATTCTTAACCCAAATACTGCATTTATCTATTTACTGCTGCATCAAGACTCTCTAAGGGGATCATTTTGTTCAAGTTCTGTAGCCTTCAAAGTACAGTATACAGTACTGTACATAATCTCATACCTAAATTAGATATAATTACTCAATTTATCTAATTAGTATCTCTTTAACAGGATGTACTGGTTGGATGACACCAATGAATATTGTGTTATCACTGGAAGGGTTGAACATTTCAATAAATATATTCTGTAGGTAATGACTATTTTAAGTAATGTGACCTCTATATCAATATTTAAAAAATTGTCTATGAAGAATGAAAACTTTGATACAACAAGCAATGTGTGTTGATATATTGCATACTGTATATCACTACAAAAGTTTATTGACATTATAATTGATCAGTGCTTCTTCACATGTAGTGCAGTCAACCCTCGCTTTACGCGGTCCCACTTTACGCGGCACCCTGCCGAACACGGAATGCTAACTTTCCGCGGTGTGTGTACCCTTTTACGCGGAGAGCGGCGCGAGCAGGGTGCGCACAAGGTCGCCCAGTCATCAAAACATTACCGAGTTCTTCACCCGCCACCCACCACAGCCGGCCCGAGTCGGTGATAGTGATAATGAGGATATGGACTTTGAGGGGTTTGACAAAGAGGCCCTGCAAGCCTCTGTGGTGGATAGTGATACAGGTGAGGGCCAATAATCTGCCCTCTGCCTCAGAACCAACCCCCCATCCCCGTGTGCCCAGCCATCTTTTCTACTAATGTAAGTGTTAAAAAACCTAATATTATTGATATTTCTCTTAATTATTGATTGTGTGTGCATACCATCATAAAATTAAGAAGTTATTTTTACTACAACGTAGGTATTGTGTCTGAAAAAGTGGAGTTTGGGGGGTCGGCCCGGTCTCTATTTCAATTAATCCCATATGTTATGTTGTTCACTTTACGCGGGCCGCAGTGGGTTCAATTGACTGCGTAAAGTGAGGGTTCACTGTACAGTATCAACAACACTCGACATAAGAAATGCAAGTGTCTTTCCACATTAGCAAACATGCATGACAAGTCATCTTGGACTAATGAGGGTATTCAAAATTTTTCAGTTTGAATAGTGAGTGGGAAGCTCCATAAAGAATGTGAAGGGGTTCTTTGAGGTCCCTGTGTAGTACAATATTTTCAATAGGTGTGATCCTCCTGTAATGGGGGGGGGGGGTCTGTAAAGGGTTTGCATTTTTACCCATTGACCAAGAAGAGGAAATATTAAAAAAACATATTGAAACGATCTCATCCCTGGGTTGTTGTTAAATGTAGTTTGGTGTGAAATTGTTGGCTGTATATTTTTTAAGTTGGTGCTCATTAAAGTTAATTAACTAAATCATAGTCAGTTGAATGACAAATGAGAGTATAATACTGTAATAAGTATACAAGGAAGCTATATTTCACAGTTGGTGGTTGAATGTGGGAGTGCATCCCATAATAATATAAATACAATGCTGTACTGTTACTTTGTAAATACTACTGTAACAATGATAGTCTAAGTTTCCTAATCAATGTGTCC